GCTATTGAAAAAAGCGGAAAGCTGTTGGGGACTGAATGAAGCACGTACGCCTAGAGCGAGCAGGGCTAGCATATGTTAACGTAGGTATTTTATATGCTCACACAATGGTGTCGTTAGTGGTGGCACGCGGCGCGACCCTGCCTCGGCCGGAAACCACAAGCCAACGCGCGTTTTGCACTATTCTGAACACTACTGCCATCTGTTGCTGCCGCCATAATTAATGGGCGTACCGTACATCTACATTATTTGAGAAAAAATTAGTCTGCATTATTTTCTAGCTCCAAATTATTATGTGGGTAATGGTAAGAGCAAATTATTCTACCGTGGAATTCTTCTTACATTCGAATTACTAAAAGAAAAATAAAATTATTTACCGCAGCCATCTTTATTAAAGACATTCTCTACTTTAGAAAAGTTAAAATGGAATTGCTTAACAGGTCTATGTTACCAGGAGAACACATATTCCAAGAAATCTAGTTCTAAGTACTTTAGGTGTAGGTAATAAATAAAACAATAACAACACAAGCTACTCTCCACAACAGTATCATTCAGTGTCTCAAAACTATGAGCGTAACAAAAGTTTATGGGCTAATAAATACGTCAGACTGTCAAATCTGGTTAAACGTTCGTATCAGTGTACTGAAGAATCTAAAATTACGACCTATAAAATCGGGCTCGAGCAAACATTCTTTGTACTACATTTATAGTATTTGTCAGAAGTTAGATATCGTTATCGACAGACGTGCGCAGGTTAGCGAGTTTATTAGTTTAAGTAAAGTAAAATCAGCCATTGAAACGGGCAGGTATTCATAATTATTATTATGCACAGACGACATCGAGTGGGAGTCACTTGATATTTCGGCAATGGAGTGGCTCGAACAGCTCAATAGCGTACAACGAGGTCTCGATTGGTAGTACAATTTAATTTTCCATCACGGTGGAGGATGTTCCGCAGCCGACGCATTTCACTTTGATTGAACTCCACTCCACTCTCGTTCCACTCACAAAATATTTCATATATAGCAATTTTGTTGATGTTTTTGCCAGACTTCGTGGCAAGGTAAATAATGAGACTGTAGATGGTTAAGGTCTGTTTATTACTTTAATTGCTGGTGCTTATATACTAAGAAGATGCGTGAGATTTTCAGATTTAGCTATCCTAACAAACGTGCAACAATTAACATGTATGTCTTATCTCTATCGTATCTAAGTAATGTAGCGACGTGATAGTGCCGCTACATATACTCCCCCCTTTTAAAAATAATTAACATATAAATTGAAGAAAATTAGTATGTACCTAATTATATAATAAATAAAAACTGCTGCCTTTGTTGTGACGGCGGCGGCAGTCGATGAACTATCCACTGCATTTGTGCTGATTGTTTCTTGCTATTGTTTTCACTCTTCTGTCTAAGGTCTTCAGTATTCCGTAGAGAAGAAGGATGCCAATTGTGATGAGGATTTGTCCAATTGCAATGTTTCTCGTCCACCGTAGCTCTTCCAGGACAAGACTTTTGAGATGGTCGGCTTCATTTTGATTAAGGCAACTGTCGGAGTTATATACGATTTGATCTTTGGAGCTTTGGTTGCCCATTGTTCTCTCGTAGATACTGACGGTATATGATGGTATTTTCAAAATACGGTGAGTATTTAAATGGACTGATTACTTGTGTCAGCAAGTGACGAATCGTACTGTCGGCTTAACCGCCCGTCCTGACTTCTGCTGCAGAACTGCGCCAACACAGGTCGAACTGGCGTCCGTCATAAGTGCCAAAGGGGCGGTGCGAGAGGGGTGAACTGTTAATACTGCGTTCATTATATTTTCCTTGCATTTATCAAAAGCTTTTTCGGCCTCTGTTGTCCAAGAAATTGGAGAATTATCATTCTTTTTAGAGTCGTGCAGGTAGTTGTTTAAGATAGTTTGATATTCAGCGGCATGAGGGAGATTGTTTCTGTAAAAGTTGATCATTCCTAAAAATCTTCTTAGCTCCTTGATTGTCGTAGGTTTAGGAAATTCCATAATTGCTTTGTACTTTTCCTCCGTTGGTCGTATTCCTCGTATTCATTTAATAGTTGAGTAATGCGTGGATTCGTCTCAATGTTAATAGTGCGGATTGTTTGCTGCGTCGATTTGATCAGGGTTGCGGGCGTTGTCAGCTCAGTTACCCTATCTATGAGTTTTCGACCAGCTATATCGACTAATAGCTTATAATGCTCTAAAAAATCTGCTCCAATAATCGGTTGTGTTACATCGGCGATGACAAAGTTCCATACAAAGTTTCTTCGTAGCCCGAAGTTTAAAGAGAGTGTTTTTTCACCATATGTCTTAATAAAGTATACATTGTTCATCTTGTATTAGTGAATGTCTCTGTGGCTTGCTAATAACTGAAATATTTGCTCCCGTGTCAATCAAAAACCTCATACCACTTTTTCGGTCGGTAATAGTGAGGCGGTTGGACGGGTGAATAGCACAGAGTTCCGCCGTTGTCCGTGCTTCAATTAGTTTCCCTGTTTCCTTGAGTTGAGATCCTGTTTCCAATCACAAGGTTGAACACACTTTTGTGCATATTTTTTAAATCTTCCATGGTAAAAACAAAAGTGCCTTCTTTCTCTTGAACTCGACTGTGGTAGGAAATGCCGACGATTGGAATAACTTTGAGTGCTGCGTCGATAGTTTTTTTGACCTTGCTGAATTGCATTTAGTTCCAATTGCATTTCTGCTAACTGTGCTAGTATGCATGACATTGTATCGTCGCCAGATTTGTTTCCGTTTACAGCTGACACCTCTGTACGTGTTGAATTTATTAATATCTTGTCCGCGATCTGGCTCATCTTGTTCACATCTATGTCTTCTGTGACTGCTAGAACCGAAGTCACTGATGGTGGCAGAAGCCTCAACCATAGAAGTTTGATGGTTTCGTCGCTGATATTTCCGTTACTCAGGGTCCGCATCTTGCGCAGAAGATGTGATGGTTTCTGGTCGCCGAGATCCATTTCAGACAATAATTTTTGGAGCTGACGTTGGTCTGATTCCTCATAGCAACTGATTAGGCGTTCTTTGATAGCCTTGTACTTTTCTATTGGCGGTGGGCAAGTAATGAGGTCACTAACCTGTATTATTTCTTCTTTTGGCAGTTTTGCAATGACCGTATAGTACTTGTAATCGTCTCCTTGCTTCTGTGGTGCTACTATGGCTTCTAGTTGCTTAAACCATAATCTGGGTTGGTCACTCCAAAATTCCGGCTGATATCTCCAAGGCTTCTTGTTGGCTGCTGCTTGATTTGCAGGGTGAATGAGTCATGTTGATTGTTCTTCGTCGGGTCACCAATTTGCCAGACTTCGTGGCAAGGTAAATAATGAGACTGTAGATGGTTAAGGTCTGTTTATTACTTTAATTGCTGGTGCTTATATACTAAGAAGATGCGTGAGATTTTCAGATTTAGCTATCCTAACAAACGTGCAACAATTAACATGTATGTCTTATCTCTATCGTATCTAAGTAATGTAGCGACGTGATAGTGCCGCTACAATGTTCATGTAATGTAACCGATAGGTGACGTGTCATGTAATGAAAAGCCGCTCGGGATTTTCATTAAACCATAATCAAACTATGTACGTAACGATCAATCAATCAGGAATAGCTTTGTTAACAAGTTACGTAAATTGTGACTGGGAGCTTTAATGATATCACTACTCATTATGGAATCAGTTAAAGATGTATGCTAGTTGATAAATTGAAGTAGAATGCCCTACGGACAGGAAACTAATTGATTTAGTAAGTTCAAACTCGAGCAGAGCCGATCCATTCCCATTTCGTGTGTATTAAATAATTCATCCAACTAAAGTTCTCACATTGACCTCCTGTAAGCCCAACCTTCCAAGTTTGAGAGGTTGAGGGAGGGTAAAAATTCCTTTTATGTATTTCCCTTTGAATGTTCGTAACAAAATTAAAGGTAACCTCTTATCGAATAATATCTTTGGTATCATAATATTAAAGTTGTAAGTTTTCCAATATTCATAATCTAGAGCGGACCTACATTTTTTATCTCGTTTATTATAACCATTGTGTTATAATACAAAGCTTATCGCGGTTTACTATGTGCGAGGTAATCCATTTAAAATGTAAATATAGTGGGCAGGTACAGTTGGCGGCGCGAGGCACGCTCGTCTCGAACCTGTTGCCGTGGCGTGCGGCCGGCTACGCAGCGCTCCACAGCTCCGACAGCGCACACGTGGCTAGAATGCCAATTGGCTTTTTGCCGGATGTCGGTCTTTGTTCACATCGCACGTCCATATCCACGCACAAGTTGCACGATTAATCATAATTACTCAGACGATGTGCAGACAGTTGTGTAACGAGCATCTGTTAAATAAGTTACGGGTCGCGGCCCGTGCCCGCCGCAGACAAACACATCAAACTTGCCAAAACAAAAGAGAAGATAAGCCAATTTCCTCAATAATAGGCTCATGCTATTGTTGAGGAGAGTAACCGGCCTATAATTTGGACAGGTACTAGACGTTAGGGGTTAAGTGGTCCACATTCACTGATTGACCTCAATCTTCTAACAATATGGACCGGACGGTGGGTCGAGATTCTGGCCTGCGTAGGTAACTGATTAATTGCGAGCCGATCACTCGAATTGGACTATGAATATTATTTTGTCAATCGTATACATATAATGTAAACAACGATTTTGGGTCATATACTTCGTTGTCTCTCCTATTCGTAAAATATGATTTATATTTGCTTTATACAAAGATTAAATTGAAATCGCCATTTTTTGTATATTACATGCTTCATAATATTATAAATGAATTTGGTTGCTTGTTAGGTAACTGAAAAATATTTTATACACTTTTGTGGTATCGGTTTAAATGGTGGACACTACATTATTGTTAAACAACATATAAGGAAAAAATAACGTAATATTGCTTTAAGTATTATCGACAGTTAAAAGACGAACGCTTGAACAATATTTGTAAGCTAAGTAGGTACAGACCTAATAACTCTGTAGGCAATTTTGGATTTTCTCTTAAATCTTATGGCGTGTCGTCTTCGAGCCAGGGCGGAGGCGCCCGCGAGCAGCGCGCTTTGAGCTTCGCTGTCGCTGCCGGCTTCCTCGCCACTAGAGTGCGTCTGCAGCGTGTGCTTGACAATCGCAGGCTTGGGCTTCGAGCTGCCTGCGGAGCCCCCGCCCCTGCCCCAGGACAGCATGGAACTCCGCAGGGACCTGAGAGTCTCCGTTGTACAGCCCCTCTGACTGGCCAACCACCATACAACAACATATCGGCGCACCGACACACACCCGCTATCCTCCCCACACACCGGTCACTGACACTGTTCACCATCAACGTTACACAAACATCGCACTCTCTACATGCTGCACTAGGGCGCACTGACGTCACTGGCTTTTGTGGAAGTCTCGGACAGGTGAGTAAGCACGTGGTTCAGACTACGCAAAGATAGTGAGCAGTGAGCGTAGTGCGCGCGCGGCCTGCCCGCCCCATCATTATCACTGAGCAAACACCGGTATCGGCAGCGCATACATTAACGGCGATCACGCATAAATGCGGGTGACATATATTTTGTTTTATCTATAGCTAAACAAACAAGGAATGAATGAATGCCTTTTATTCACTGTCATTTATCTAAATCTCTCACCGTTTGGATTGTCACGGATAAATCATTTAGTAACAATTCAACTAATAGTTGCATAAATGTCAGCAAACACAGCAATACTAGTGACAAAAACTGAAATAACACCTCACGGTTTATGTTAATCAAAACATAGTATAGTTAGGCAATGAGTCACGGTGACAACTTATCTGACCTTCACTGCAATATATTTAATCAAATTTATAATATTATAATAGCACAATGCACAATAATAGTCACACAACTACGGAGCATGTAAATATTTACACAGAAAACATCACTAATTAACGGTAACTCCTCGATAAAGCTCAGAACTCCGGTGTTTTAATCGTCTTTAAGTTCGACAGAACTGGTTTTAAGTAGAGGTTGGACAAAAAAAACCAAACTTCAGATCGTTGTACTACTCCGTCTCACTACCGATATTCACACATTGTTACACGTGATCATGTAATTTTCAGGCCACAATTATTGTCACGGTCAACAGGAAGACAAAACACTGGGTGCTCACAGTCTGTGGACGAGGTTAAACGTGTTCCGTACGGGAAACATGCGCGTAAACTAAAGTGTGTGAGTATGCGCGGGCGCCGGCCGGCCGCGTGCCACCGCGTCTCGAGCGCGTCGACTCTCGCGACATTTGCGCCGAAATAGAAATGCTTCCAGAGCAACGTCTGCACCAGACCACTTCTCGCCAGTCTGTGACCTTGGCGGATGTTAACATGTTATGAGAACTATAACTTACATCGATACAATTTGCATTAATTTACATAATTACGTAAACTTGTAGAACATCTTTTTGAAGTTTATAATTGCATAATTGACATTCACAGTTGTTGTCAAATGAAGAAAACAATTCAGTGGTACTCCGAACCTCCGAATAAGCGTAAGCTGGTAATGATATAACCTATATTTTAACTTAATAATAAGTCAAAATTTATTTAAACAATTGAAAAAAATACGAAACCAATAACGAGAGTCAAACTCTAAGCAAACGAGCGAGAAAAGTGTGGTTATTAAAAAACTTTGCGACTACTTTTTAACCTAATTCTGGGATTTCAACTTGGACAGTTAACCCTCACTAAAGCGTAGTTTAATGCTGTCTTTGGAGCTTGTTAGAGCAATAAATAAATATAGTTATAAGTAAAATCAGTCTCGTTAGGCTCAATAGCTCAGACAACTTAACGTCAACAAACTATTTGTCGCTGCTTCGACGCGACGTAGCGTCCTGAGTGTGACCCATTTAGAGGTGATATGAACATTCATACTTACATGCTTATAGTCTAGCCTAGCGGCTTCGCCTGCAAAAAGGGTAGAACAGAAGTAGCCCGTTTTATATATTCATACAATATATTATTATTATATAATTACCTACATATATATAATCTATATATATAAAAATGAATCGCAAAATATGTTGGTAAGCGCATAACTCAATAACGGCTGGACCAATTCTACTGATACTTTTTTTGTTATGTGTGTTATTGTCAGTCGAAGGCTCTTATGAAAGAACATTTTTGTTAAGTAGAGGAGAGTTGGGTAATAGGGACCCTTTCATCGTAAGCGAGATGATGAGACCCGTGCGAAGCAGGGGCGAGCTGCTAGTATTATATAAAGGTAAAGAGTTTGTTTGTTTGAACGCGCTAACCTCCGGAACTACTGGTTCGAATTGAACAATTATTTTTGTGTTCTTTAGTCCATTTAACGATAGGCTATGAACATCACGCTAGGTATGATCTGTAGGAGCTGAGCAGCAGGTGAAACCGCGCGAAAGTAGCCAGTTTTTATTTATTTGTTTAGTTAACCAATAACCGCTTATACAATACTTTTAAATTTTGATTTAAATTGACATTTATAAGTGTAACAGTTACTTATGGGTTAACACCACACGCACTATTACTTCTTCATATTTGCAAAGTTTTCTTTGTTGATCATTACTAAGATTCGAAAAAATCAAAACGGCCGACCGTTTTGATTTTTTCGTCGTCTTATAGTGATTTAAAAATTAAAACAAAATTACAGCATGCTCATAGAGAGTAGTATTAACATCTTTCGGTGGTAACTACCTTAAAAATCCTAAACAATATATACATTCTATATTAAATAGCATATGTGTGTAAAGCGATTAAAATTATCAGTGTGTTTTTCCAAACCATAATCTATCTCTATAACAAATTTCATTCACGAGGAAACACAACGCATACGTCGGTTTCATGTAAGACCGTGGTATCACTCCAGTCGAGCCGGCCCGTTCGTGACGAAGCACGGCTCTCCTAACAAACTTACGGGTTTATAATATTATGTTTTGTACTCACTAATATTCAAACCTAAACTAAGGAAAACCCTATATGACGCACCTTAAGTAGATTTTATATAACACAAAAAATATGGTGGTGATAATATCCAAACTAATATTATAAATGAGAAAGTAACTCTGTCTGTCTCTGTCTTTTCCTCACGCCTAAACTACTCGTACATATCCGATTTCTGTGAAATTTGGTACAGACATAGTTTAGAACTCAAGAAAGGACATAAGAAAGTTTTTAAACCAAAAATCTACAGGAAGTTACTATTCCACGTGAACGAAGTCGAGGACAAAAGCTAGTTATAATATATTTTTAGACACTTGACTATCAATATTCTTTTAGAGAACGGATCCGTTAAGCGACAGATACTTAGTTTACTGTTAAAAAGTCACTTATAACCATCTTTCAAGCTTACAACTGAGATTAATCGTGCAGGCTAGTTTGTGTGATCGATCACTCGGATATTGGAAAGTAAAGAATCCATTCCAGAGAGGAATCCCATGTTATCACGCCGTCTCGTTCCAAATTGAGACTAATGTTGTTTTAAACGATATTTTATCATCAATTTGTCACAACGCTCGCGATACATTCACTGACATAACATGTTATAAATAAACTCGAGTGTATCTTTTTAAAACTGCTCTCTTTTTAAGAATATATTTTATATTATCGCGTGACATCTGTCCCAACCCCTTTTTCTTAACTTAATTTATGTTAATGTCAGCCAAGTAAAATGTTTAAGAAGATTTAGTCTTGCTTAAATTAAACGATTTATTTTGCTACGGTTACCACGTCCTTTGTGCCATCTTTTGAATTATCTAAGGACCTTAAGGCAGAGAGCGACGTATGAAAATGATTATATCAGAAACTTGGCTGGAATCCATTCTAATATTTGAGAATGTTCGAATATGGAGCTGGTGTTTGGAATTTATGAGTCAAAGTGAAACAAAAGAACCTAACTTCTTATTATCTACACAAGAGAGAAAAGTTATTATTGAAGCTATAAATTCACCTACAACCTACCCACCTAACTCAATCTAAACCGTTCTATGAGTTCTATCATTAATCCTCTACGTCAAAGTTTTTAAAGTATTGTACGGAATACGAAAGTGAGTTCCTAAAAAAAATACTGGAAGAAAAAGGTGAATTACCTAAAAATAAAAAGTAAATTGCTTAAGCAACGGATTAGTAGGCACAAGATTCTCAAGAGAGAATATTAAATAAGATAGTGGGTGGCTGTTGGCTGCTTAATTACGCGGTCTGTGCCCACCGACTACAAATACAACAATATCACATTAAACTAACTACACGGCTGCACTAACTGTTAGCCTATTTCTAAAACGTTGTCGGGACAGTGTGGGCCGCCATTAACACGAAATGCCCAAACATTTTGTATGGCACATGTATGTAGGTACATTTAAAAATAAAGTATTAATTCCTAAGCATTTGCTTCAAAACATTCGAGGTAACTGAGAAGGGTTGTGCACTGAACAATTTTAGGAAAAGGGGTCAGTAAAAATTCAGAGTGAAAAGTTTTCTTGGCGTTAACGAAGCAAGAGAGCATTCTTCGGTTCCCGGAATAATTAATCGAAAATGTAAATGAACGAAACCAAAACCAGGATTCCAGGATAAAGTTTGCAGATAGAAATATATACGTACCTAACTAAATCATTGGAAAGATAAGACAAGTAAGACACTTTTTATAATAAAAATTTTGAAAGAGACGCTAGAGCGTCGTTTTCAGCATTTTTTGAAAGATACTTTGTATTCAATGAAATAACATTAATTATATATTTTACACGTTTCACATTTGTTGACTTATAAGTTTGAAATTGCCAATCTACCTTGAACAAGCGTGGTGATTAATGCTCGAACCTTCTCCATATATGAGCAGTGACCTTTGCTCAGCAGAGGCAGTTATAGAAATAGAGTGATGATGTGATGTGACAGTTGTTCAGGCATATAAAGTCATATTTTTATTTCGATCTACTTTGACAAAGAACACATGCAGAGACTCTCCTTGCATTTGGAATTATTAGCTCGCAAATACCTATCAACTCGTATGAAAACTATTAATTACTATACCACTGTGTACTACACTCTTACGCGAAAACCAATATTTATGTTTTTACTAAAAGCACTTTATAAATTAAACTCGTTATATATCGGAAACACGTTAAAAATACGAAGCCAATTTTATTCAAACACAGAATGTGTAAAATAAAGAACTGCAGTTGAAATTAAGTAACAATTTTATGTTAGCGGAATAGTTTCGGAAGTTGGTGCCAAAATACATTAAAATCAAAATTAATGCATTTCTCTAAGGAAAATGTTTCCTCCACGGGTTTATTAAGAAAGTAGAAGTACTATAATATGTGTGCAATGTGAAGATTTTTCTTAAAACAAAGTAATTGTTTTTCTTTACGGGCGCGTACGTTGCTGTTAAATCAACACTAGTAGAAATGTTCAAAACAATGCTTTTGTTATTTGGATCGATTCTCGTTCGTTTGCAAAATAACAGCTGCAACTACAACCCATTTTACAGTTGAAATAAAACAAAAAGTTGGTCATGTACCGAAGTTCAAACTGATTCAGTTATCACAGGGTTGCTTTTTTTAAATAAAACTGTACAGCATAACAAAGTTATTCCGGCCGGTAGTTACCAGTTATTTTTTGATACGAATGAAAAGTTTGCATTAAAATTTCCATGATAATAAATATTTATAAGATAACGTTTTTAATTTTTTTTTTGTTGGTAAATGGCAATGCACTTAACGTTATTTATTAACTATGTAAATTCCATTAATTGAGCGACTACGTTGCTTCTTTATTACTTATGTATAATGTATAATTATAATATTTTGTTTATTTACAGTCCCCTTTCTTAGATCAACAATTTGTAAATTATCGTTAGTTCAAAATTGATTAGCAGAATTGAATAGCTTATTAATTCGTGTCGAGAAATTTAAATGCCTGGGGCATTACATTACTGAGGGCCATGAAGACAATGCAGACATAGAGAAGGAGCGCAGGTTTTGAGTCTTTAGAGCTAACATGGTAACTCGCAGATTCTATAGGTGCTTTGTTGACGCTTAGTTTAAAAACAGTATCTTACACTCTTTTTAAATCTTATTTACTATACACCAAAAAATCGCACCCAGTTTTTTGTTTCGAGAAAATCATCAAATTGCTTCTCTCTCCCGTAGTGGAGCAAGTTGACGAAGAGGGAATGTCAGACTCTTAAAGACTCTCACTAAAAACCACACCGTTCTCTCTCCTGTACTAGACCGGGGCCGCGGTAAAAACCAGTATTACGAATATTAAGTACTCAGGGTGATTTTGGAGCTGCCTGGCTTCTTTAGTGTGACAGGGATGTTTGCACT